TTAAATAAAAGACTGCTTTCTTTGTATCTGTTTAACTTCATAATAATATCGAATCCAAGAAATCTTTATTGGACGGACAAATACAACTAATTAATCTTGCAGTTGCACAATCAACCAAGATATGTGTAATTATTATATTGAAACTACAACTTGTTTTTATGACACAAAACCCTGTCATATCATTAATCACTTGTTCGTTCGACGAGGTACATATTTTTTTATTTAACTTCATATATATAGGAGCATATGCATATGATTTTTTATGCCTAAAATGGTTATTTCACCTAACAACTATATTCCACTGCCTATTTATAGCACAAGTAGAAAATGTTTGTTTCAATTCTGTTTATAAAGAACCTCAATTAATTAATATGTTTATATTTATCATTTTGCCTTATTAAATGTAAGGAAGCTTATTAAATACTAAAATAATTTATTTTCAAATAGTTATATTTAATAAAAATAAAGTTAAAAATTTAGTAAGTTTTTAGATAGAATTTATAAGGTTTAAAATTTTTAATTCAATAAAAATGTTTAAAGTACACATGGATTAGCGAAAATACACAGCAGTGGCGGTGCATCACTGGCGTTTGGGACTTCCATTAATTGCCAGGACCCATCTGCCATCTTTGCAGCCCACACTACACCTAAGCATACAAAAAATTTTATATTTATTTTAATATATTTTAAAACTTATAATTTTTCTTATGATAGAAAACAATTATTTGTTCTTGAAGTATTTTAAAACTTATAATTTTTGACCACTTATTATTAGGTTTAAAAAAAATTTGAGCATTGCATTTTACTAAGAAATTGTGCAAGGTACAGAAATAAAAAAAATATAATTGTTAAAAATATTGAATCTAAATTTACATGAGGGTAACACGAATAAGTCAAGCCTAAGATCCAGTCAACAGTCTTTATTTTTAATTGAATTTAGGATTTTTTTTTTATTTTCATCTTCCCAGTCAATGGTTCCCTAATCTGACCGCTTCTCTTCTCTTCGTCTTCCTTCCCCATAAATAACCCACCGATCCTCTTCACCTCCACACCAATCACTAACCATAACCAGATTCAAGCTCAACAAACCAACCAATACACCTAATCAATGGCTTCCCTGCACACCTCATCTTTTCTTTCTTCTTCTTCTCCTCCTCCTTCGAAAAGAGCATCAGTGCCTGTCAAAGCCTCCATCAACGTCCCAAAATTCCCAAGTAGAGTTCCTTTCTCATCATCATCAGCCTCACGACTCCCAAGCAGAAAGCTCTTTGAAGAACTCAGCGGCTTCTCACACTCAATCCTTCCCTATCAGAACACCAATCTCACCGGCTCACAGTCCCACGATGATTTGATCAGATCCGAACTGTATGTGATCCTCGAAGCCGTGGCCGATCGAGTAGAGATGCACCACAACATAGGCGAGCAACGCAATAACTGGAACACCCTCCTCCTCAACTCCATCAACATGATCACCCTCGCCGCATCCACCATGGCCGGAGTCGCTGGAGTCGCCGCTGCCACCGGAGCACCGCTTCTCGCTTTCAAGCTCTCCTCCGGCCTCCTCTTCTCCGCCGCCACGGGGATGCTGGTCATCATGAACAAGATTCAGCCCTCGCAGCTGGCGGAGGAGCAGCGCAACGCGACGAGGCTGTTCCGGCAGCTCCAGAACGAGATCGAGACCAAGCTCGCCATAGGAAAGGTCACCGACGAAGATGTTAACCACGCAATGGCCAAGGTTCTTGCTCTTGATAAAGCCTACCCGCTTCCTCTCTTGGGCGATGATCGATGATCGAAAAAACCCGAAGAAGTTCGAGCATGCAACATGGTGGCCTTCTTCATCATCAAAACGAATTGCCACCTTAATGTCCAAGGAAGCGAAGAATGGATGGAGCGAGGGATTAGAGACGGAGTTAAAGGAAGTGATGGAAGTGGTGAAGAGGAAGGACATAGAGGACTACGAGAGGTTGGGGAACTTGGTGTTGAAGGTAAACAAGAGTCTGGCAATAGCTGGGCCTTTGCTTACCGGAGTAGCGGCCGTAGGATCTATGTTCATAAGCCCAGAATCGTCATGGTCGGCGATGGTTCCGGCGGTGGCGGGGGCGTTATCGACGGCCATAAATGGGTTTGAGCACGGTGGGCAATTGGGGATGGTGGCGGAGATGTACAGGAACTGTGCAGGATTCTTTCAGATGTTGGAGGATTCAGTTCAAGAGACGATTGAAGAAGATGTGGAGAGGAGGGAGAATGGAGAATTGTTTGAGATGAAGATGGCTCTGAAATTGGGAAGGAGCTTGTCACAGCTTAGAGATCTTGCGAAGAAATCAGCTTATTCTCGTACAGAGGGAGCTGACGTTGATGAATTCGCCAGCAAGCTCTTTTAGTTATTATTAATAATAATCCCTTTCATTAGTCTAACATTTTTGTGTATTCATCCTAGTTAACGTAGAAATTAATGCAGAGCTTTTATTTTTGTTTTGAGATGTTTTTATCTTAAACATCATCGATTGCAATATGTTTATATTCATGAGTAAATTTTTTTTTCCTTGCAACTTGTCTTTTAATTTTATTGGCTCTAAAATCCTGTAGTTGGATCATTTAATAAGTATCTTATGTGACATTATAATAATTGTTCAAGTTAACTATCAAATTCTAAATTTTAAAAAGCAAGAATTATACGAAATGAATATGTTCTAATGATGAAAATTGTTTTAAATTTTTAATAGAAAATTATTTTTTCAAGTATTAATAAAATTTAATTATTATAATTGAGATACTAACAAATCCGAGCCCCTAAAAGGCTAAAATCTTATTCCTACCTCTTAACATTATTGGACTTTGAATTTTATCTCTCATTGTAATTTCTTCCCAAATCAATTAACTTTTATAATTAATTAATCAATCAGCTAATTTTCATCTTATATTATAACAATTTTCAATTTAATTAAGTACCAAGTTTCAAATTTTTAAAAGAATCGTTATGCATAATGAATATGCTCTAATTATAAAAATTGTTTTAAATTTTTGATAGAAAATTATTTTTCCAAGTATTAACAAAATTTAATATTTATAACTGAGATACTAGCAATTCCGAGTCCCTAAGAGGCTAAAATCTTATTCCTATCTCTTAAACTTTATCTCTCGTTGTAATTTCTTCCCAAATCAATTAACTTTTACAATTAATTAATTAATTAGCTAGTTTTCGTCCTATCGCTTCCTAAATGTAAGTCCTTTTAGATATAAATAAAATGATTATTTATAATTAATTGTGTCAAAAATTTGTTATGCTTTTTCATAATTATCACGTGATTTAATGGACTTTAGTTATTCTTTTTTCTGGGAAAAAATGAGCATTAACAGGGGTATTTTATTGGGAAAATTAATATATACAAGATTAAAAAAAGATGCTTACATAATGCATTTATCATGTCAAGTGAGTTGATGATGGTATTTAATTATCAGTACACGTTAAATAGAGGGAAAATGACACTTCAACTTAAATAACTGGAGAAAGAACTCTCGTCCTATACATTGACAACCGGGCAAACAAAGATGTGAGGAGATGAGTTAATTAAGAAAAATAATGTATCCAGTTGAAAATTTTGGGAGAATAAATATGAAAAAAAATGAATTAATTAAAAAATCCTGATTAAGAGTTTTAAAGATTTTCAATTCATTTTTTTTATAATCTTCAACTTATATATGAATGGAGATATTTTAGTCAATTTTTTTTTTTTTGCTTTTAAATTTCAATATTGGCTCAAAGTGTTATTAGTCTCTTGATCTGTTCCGTGGACAGTGAATTACCCATAAAACAACGACACAAGCGAGGATGAGGTGTGTGGTTGCAAAAAGTAAATATAATTTATACATTTATATGTGCATGTACATTGGATTTTTTTTAGCGAAATTACAGAAAAACAATTTAGTAGTATATCCAAAATAATAGGCAATTTATTGACCAACGTAATTGGTTTCACAATGATTCAGCCATTACTAAACAGCACTACTTGATTTATTTATGCTGGCCTCAATCCATGTGTTCATGGTAGATTTCCCGAGTTGCAGTTTTAGAATGGCAAAATGTTTTAGGCTTGACTTTTTTAGATTTTTTATATGATTAATTGACTAGGTCAAATTTATGTATTATTGACCTGATTTGAGATAATTCTTCTAAAACTATTTTCTATTTATTTATAACTTGTTCCAACAAGACCAACGCATATTAGTTGATTTTTTCAATTCTCAATTAAGTCTTTTAAACATGATTTTTTTTATTTTCTTTTGGTCAGCGTCATTTTTTATTAAAGAGTTACATATATAAGGAATGTGTTGACAATTTAAGTAGGCATGTTTGTCATGGATGAAAAGAACCCAACAAATTAGCGTTCTTCCACGCTATTGTTGGAGTTGGACTTTCTTTAACTTTGGTCCACGCCGATTTTTTTTGTGAGGTCAACATGTTATTGCTGTTTTTTTTTTTAAACTTGATTTGTTAACCATGGTTAGACTAACACTTATAACATCAATGTGTTGATTTTTTTTGGTATCATACTTCTAATACAACTCATTTAATTATGTGACATTAATTAAATAAATTTTGTAAATGAGGTGGAAATTGATAGTTAAATAATAGACCGATAGCTAGGATTATTTGAACATTTAAACTGTCTAGGTATATTTTTACTTTTAAGTAAAATACGTTTAGACTTGTATGTGTATAAGTGCGTAATAGAAAAAATAATCTTACATTTAAACAAAAATTAAAAAAAAATCTGTTAATATTAAATTTAAAGGTAAATATTTCTCCTCGAAATTATTTAAAGGTATAATATGTTAGTCAACTTACATATTATAAAAAAAATTAAAATTAGAATAAAATAATACCCGATTTTTTAAAATATTTATTCATTTTAAAACCTATATCTATGACTATAATGTATAAATAAAAATAATTTAACGTAAACAAATTTAAACAAGCCCAGTTGGGCAAGGGAATTACGAATTGGATTTGTGCCCTTCCATGAAATCGGAGCAGCTGGGGAGGAAAAGCGAACACAACGATGTCGTTGTCGTGTTTGCCCGGCGATACAGAGCAAGGATCATTTCTCGGACTCACAGCGCAGCCAGAGAATTTTGTTCCCTGAGAAATTTTGGAATTTTCATATTACGAAGCTTGAAAGCGATCCTCAGTGTGTCCTCCTGCCATTCATATTATTCGTGGTTCCGGTGAAACCCCTTGTCCTTAGATTCATCCTCAATTGCTATTGCTGATTCTTCCCTCTCTTTCAACCCCACTTCCCCCAATTCGTGATTCTGGTTCCAATACTATCTCTGGATGAGCTAAGCTGATCCTTATCAGGTATGCCTAATCCCATTTTATCATTCTTCTCAGGTTTGCACTCGTGACTTTTCAAATCATATAATTTAGCTTGTGAACCAAATCATGCCTGATAGCTATTTTCTTCATGATTGCTCTTTTCTGACTTAAAACCAATTCGCATTATTTTTAATTGATGAGGTTTTGGTTGGCTCTGTGTCTACTTTTGTATAAATAGTTCAATCCGTTATTCTAACTTTGTTTTCCCCCTAACGTTGTTTCGAAGGCCGCACTATCATGGTCCAACCATGTTAACATTGTACGCTCCCCGAGCTGTTTTAAAGTGCCATCTGTATCAGGATTCAGCCTCTGAGCAACAAGCATATCCATCCAAGATCAATAATGTTAATTTCTTAAAGTGTAGTTCTAGTTTTCCTAAACCGTTTGGGAGCCCTCACAGCACTCCATCTCATAGTCCTTCATTTCCCCGGAAATGTGATAAGCAACAAAAAAGCCTTCATATATTGCATCAAGTTGGCTACACATAAATGGCTGGTGAGCATGCTCTGTTCTGGGGTCCGTCGCCTGTGTTTAGTCTATGATTGTACACGTGGTGATTGATATTTTTTACTATCACATGTTTTGTAGTGTGGATTACATGATTCCATCTCATCGGATGATGAGTATCGTTCATCACGTAATATAGCAATCAGCTTGTTTAGGCGATACAGAAATTTTGTTGATCGTGGGGGAGGTGAAAATCTAAAAGTAAACTTACAAGCCTACTTGATTTGCTTCCCTTATTCAGTTATTCATTCTTCCATTTGGTTTCAATACCTGTTCTCTCTGTTTTCACTCACAGGAGTTCATAGCTGCTGGGGTAAATGCATATGCATTAGGATGCACTGATGAGGGGATAAGGAAGGAACTGAATGATATGAAAGACTCTGGTATGGAAATTGAAGCAATGCAGAGTTATGGTGGAAGCACAAGTTTGAAGTCTAAGATTATCTCAGAGGAGGTAAATTTTACCTCAACTTGAATCTAGCTGGACAGCTAATTTGAACTTGTGATTATCAGTGATTATCACAAGTATCCTCCTTTTTCCCCGCCTTTCTCTTAGTTTTAGCCTTGTCAAGTTTTTTATAGCTTACACAATGTTAACGTAAAGGAGAGGAATTCTACCTTCCTATTCTCTTCTACTCTGCAAAGCCACATGCAGTGTTACTTTCATCCCAAAACTGGCTCACCTCAATGGTTCAAAAGCCAAGCCTCTTCCTGGCTTTTGATTCAAAACAATATAATTCTGCACTTTCTAAAAGCGAACAGGCTGCCCTGAGCCAACAACAATAAATTTATGGGCAAGATGTGCTCTAGATCTCTCTATTATCTTTTTCTTCTTGTTTGTTTGATGCAGCTTAATGAGTGCGTTCTCTGGCTAAGCATTATATTCATCACTATCTTGTGTACACCCCAACCAACTATTGTTAGATGGTCATCAACACCTCCAGTGTCAGACGAAGTGAGGCTTCAGTGGAAAGGCTTTTGCGCCCTCATAGCGAATGCGTATTTTATGAAAGGAATGGCATGGTGAGATGCCTTGCTTGCAATATATTAGATATAGTAAAGATACTTAAATATACAAGCTAAAAGTTCTGATGATAAATCATGATATTGCTTGCTATGTCGTCGTTGAAGGCTTCCTGTAAAGACTCTTCAACTGGAGCAAATGGCTGTCATGGATCAAGCTGAGAAGCCATCAGTTGTTGCTAGCCGAATGCGATTAGTCTTCAGCACACTTGAGGTTAGCTTAATGCTACTACGTTCTGTGAAAAATGTCTAGAGATGTTATTTTCTTATTTGCGTGACATGTTTACCGATCAAACTGGAATATGTTCACCTCACATAGAGGCAAACATGGGCCTCATGTTATTCTATTACTCGATTGTAAAACTGAAAGGATAAAAGAAAAAAGTGATCAGAGAAGATCTGGATTCTGGTGTATTGTTTAGAGATTGTTATTCTCCGGCAGAATTAAGTATAGATCATTAGATATTTTCTGTTAGATTTTTCAAGAATGTAATGGTAAATGCCTAAACACCACAAGTTTAATTTGTCACTATATGGTTATAGATGGATTTTGAACTTGACATAATTTCTCATGATTGAAGTTTGAATTATAAGTTGTCCTATTTATGGATGGCAAATATTGTGCATTTCTGTAGTTCTATTATATACATTGATACGATGTTGGGGACCGTGCAGGTGGTGAGTCCACAGTGGCCAAGAGTGTAGGGCATAAGATCTCCAGTTAGTTCCTCAAGAATTTCTGGTTTGACTTGTATTCCATGTTTGCAAACCAGTGCGATCATGTTAAGCCTAATGAAGGTGTCTAAGAGAAAATAAAGGCAAACATGTCGGGCTGCAAATATATTGTATAGTCACTCATAAGAAAAGGAAAAGGAGGGGGACGGGGGGATTGAATTTGTGTTGCGGAAGTGTTGGTGTGTCCGAATGTGGCATAGTCAAGCAGCAGTGTTGCATGGTTGTGTGGGAAAGAATGTTTAATTGTACATTAGCACTTATAATATGGTATAAATGATATCTTTCAAGTCTCATATTAGCAGGATTTGACTGTGAGGGGTTTAACTGGATAAGGGCATAAGACAGATAACAACTCACATGTTGTTCATTTTAACAGCTATGTCAATCTAATTTGATGGTTTGAAATTCCATCCGATCAATGCAGTGAATAGGAGCATTTAGACAAGTATTTGAGGTATTTATAAGGTGAAGAAGATGAATGCAATATTTGTATGAACTGACCGAAGAAAGAAAAAGTAATTTATCTCAATCTTGCATTGTAGTGAAATTCTTGATCATGTAAGAGGAGAATGATTATAAGGAGGAAACTAGAAAAGAAGACTAATCAATAGAAGCTTTAGTAGTGTTGAAAAACTTGGTGATTAGTCCTTGGAATATTTCCTCCACTTGTTCCTATTCCATTCGTTTTTTTTTTTTTTAAACGTAAACTGGAAACTTCATTCAACCGAATAAAAACAGAGAACAGACGACTCAAAAAAAAAAAAAAACTAGAGAAAAAGCCTACCAAGAAAACAAAGACAAAAACCTTTCTATACATGAGTCCATGAGCCAACTCGGCAAAATAATTGGCCATTCAATTTTCCCATATGCACCAAGTTGAAAGTAATATTCCACTTTCTATACATGAGTCTCCTTGATGCCTCGACGATATTCCTAAAAGGATGATGATTATAGACATACATACAATTGTAAAAGACTTCCAGAGACCTAAATCTTTTTTCCAACAAATCTCAAGACCTTGAGGATACCAAAAATCTTTGCAAATGGTAGCAGGAGCATATCCCAGCTTACAATTGAAACCCTGTATCCAATGTCCACTAGCAGTTCCTATTCCAATCTGATCCCATTATACAACTGTTGCTACTACTATTTTCATCGAACCATAGAAGCTAATAGATATATATAATTGCGTGTCTGACACCTTTATGTGTAAATCGTTAGTATTAATGTTACTATAGTTGAAATTGGCATTTATAATCAACAACTGATTTGTCATATTAACGATGCCGGACCTTATTTATCAAACATGTTGTATACTAATAAATGTAATCATATGCAAATGGAGACCTTTATATTGTCCTCTGGGTAATATATATATATATATATATATATTAGTGAAGATTATGGCAAATTAAGGTGTATTAAAAATTATTTTTATTTTTCTGTTTTTCAAAATAATATTTTATCTTTTTATTCTTCAAAATACTTTTTAAAACATGTTACCAAATAGATTTTTTTATTTTTTTATTTTGAAAAATAAAAAATTATTCTCAGAATAGGTTTCAATCAGGCTCTTAATTTTTTTTAGGCTATATTCCAATGCCATGGTGTGTCATAATAATGTTTTTTCATTTAATTTGGGCTCTCTCTCTCTCTCTATATATATATATATTCAAACATGCAGGGTGAATGCGCGTGTATAGACACAAGTGAATTAAAGTTACAAAATCATGTCTTCGTATGTTAGTTAGAAGAAACTTTATTTTTCCATAAATAACAACAATTAGTCACAATTGCGTACTTAGAGTAGCCTAATTAAATAGATCATATAGAGCTTAATTAGAGGAAGATCAATAACAAAGGATTGGACATTAACTCAAGGTTGTAGCCCCTTAGTAAACCCTCCACCATATCCACCACCTGCACTGGCACCACCACCTCCACCCCAACCGCCACCATATCCTCCATTTCCAGATCCAAATCTGCCTCCGCCTCCGAACCCAAAACCACCACCAATGTAGCCGGAAAAGTGGTGAAAGAAGGTCTTGTCTTGGCCAAATCCATAGTAAGGCTGGTGATTCCCAAACTTCCTTGCCGTGATAATGGCAGGAAGAATAAGAAAAGCAAGCAAAAGCAGCTTACAATGAATCATTACTGACATTAGAGAACAGTAACGTATGGGTGATACAAGAGACATGGATTAAGTTATATATATAGTTGTTCAGACCATTGGTTTTGCGGAAAGAAGTTGAAGTCTTATGTGAAGGATTGAATTTTGCGGTTGCTCTATTGTCCTTCATATAGAATCCGTGCTTTGTGCTTCAACATTGCCCTTTTGTTAGGACTCTTTTAGCTTGTTCGGTGAGGTCACCAAAAGAGATCCCATCAAAGTTCTCTGACACCTTAAAACACACAATTTTTCCTTTTATCAAATAATGAATCCAAATCAAACTTTTGCCATCAAATAATTTATTTACATAAAACTAAGAACACACCCAACCGTTACATAGCTAATGCATACTAAAAAAAAAAAATCTGAAGATTTACATTTTCATGAAATCAATTTGAAATAAGCTATTATTTACTGATATTTTAAATAACATGATTTCACACACGCAGCGCATTATTTTATGATGATTAAATCGCCATGTATAACAAACTAATGCCAGTTTACTTGAATATTGATGCTATCATTGCATAAGTTTGCTGGCAATAAAACAAGGATTGAATCGATCCTTTGAAATTCCAATGTCGTACATGAACTTCACAGCAAATTAAAGAAGGCGCATATTCTACCTTCATTTTTATATTTACAAGATCAAACTTATATATAATGTAAAATATGTCGACTTTGTAACTTCAGAGGAATTTCAGACATTGTACTTCAGGATATCTATATTTTATATCCTTCAAAACAAGCCTTCTCATGAATGTCGTCACAACGATCACTAGACATTGTCTAGGACCCCGCCATAACAAACACAAGATATCATAAAATTGGACAAATTAAATAAACCATATCATGTCACATATATACAATAGGACTTAAAAAGTCAATTAACTAATTAAAAGTTGTGAACGAAGAATTGTCTAGGACCCCGCCATTAACAAACACAAGATATCATAAAATTGGACAAATTAAATAAACCATATCATGTCACATATATACAATAGGACTTAAAAAGTCAATTAACTAATTAAAAGTTGTGAACGAAGATGTTATAATTTCCTAGAGTGCTCTGTTAGTATGCATCCGCATTCGGTGCTTATTATTGTTATGAGCACCAAATACTCATTAGGGTTAGGATTGCTCCTAACCCTCCATTTCAACCCAAATTGATCTCTGCTGGTCAATTAAATTAATTTTTAAGTATTTTGAATATTATATTAATTAAAATAAAAAATATAAAAAATTTAATATTAAATTTGGACTCTTTAGAATATATTTAAATGATTAATTTATAAAATTTATAAATTTTTAATATATGAACTGTCCCAGTGTTTATCTGGATAGTCAAATTGTAACATTATAAAATTTTTTAATATTAAATTAAACTTTTAAATTAAATCTATATTAGCCAATTGATAATAAACATATTTATTAAAATTTTAAAAAATTTTATATTATAAATATTATATTAAAAATTTTTAAAAATTAATTTAAATAAACGACATAGATCAATTTATATTGAAATGGAAGGTTAGGATTGCTCTGACCCTAATGAACACGTGCTGCTCATCACAACTGATGAGCACCGAATGCAAATTGCTATCAGTACAGGCTTCTCATGGGCACAGGCTGAGCTGAACTAATTAACGTTAGTACGAGCAGCGTCATATCTATGCTGTTCATCAAGGCTTATACATGTAAAGGTCAAAGACATCGAGAGCTGAAAGCTTGTAGTGTCGGGATGTGGTTTTTGTGTGTCGGGATGTGGTTTTGTGTTGGCTCCTGGCCAAAAAGGAGAGAAAAAACCAATAAAATATCTTTTATTAATCTTATTATATAAATTATAAGAAAGGGAATTAATTACTTGGGCACGAAAGGTCTTAAAGAGATCGTTGAAGATGATATAGGAGTGGCTCTTCTGTTGCTGGCTCTGGGAAATCGGCGGCACAGTCCCATGTTTCCTGGCATGTCGTGGAAGACAACAAATTCAAACTCCGTTTCTAACGTATACAACGCGAAACTAATATTCAGTTTCGTAGGTTTCAATATTCCTTTCTAAGTTTAGTTAATAATAATTGAATATCAAACGTATTTGCCTTTATCAATGAATACTCGCGCACGAGTTCGCCCACCTGAACTGAATCCCTATACATATATATAATAATATAGATGTTTCCAACTTAATTGTTTTAATTTAATTATCAAATTAAAAATAAATTATAATATCATTTCAAGCTTAATTAAACATGCATGTATTTTGACTTGTGTTATGAGCACGAGTTTGAAAAAATTAACCTACTGGGAGAAAGAGCCCATTAATTTTATAAACCTGGTTCATTTGTAAAATTTTCTAATATAAACTAATAACAACCTGTTACTTTTTGAATTTGACTTAGCATTATTAGATGGTTAATAACTACATATATACGCATTAACTTAGCATATACTTTTATTGTTGTTTTATTTTATTATTGTGATCAACAAAAAACTAAGCTGAGGTCCCTATGCAACGTGCTCCCATTTTAAATTTGAAAACTCAACCCAAAAAAACAAAAACGAAAGCTCAAAATTCTAGACAGCGAACGTTTTAAAACGTACAAACAGTGAAACGTATGGCATGCATGTTATTATTTTTATATGAAAAATAATATGTCAAAAAGTAAAAAGAGTTCCCTAAACAAAAAGAGAATATGAAATACTACAATTTAATATGTGTATTGAAGGAAGTTAGTGAATTGACTTTTAGAGATCTGTCAAAAAATGTAATTAAAAAAAAGAGAGAGATCTGTCAAAAAATAAAAGAGTTTCCTAATAAATAAAAAAAAGAGGCGATAGGAGAAATCGTACCAATTGGCTTGGATTGCAGGATGCTGATGATTCATATAATTATAAGATGCGTAGCTCTGTCCAAGAAAGCTGTGGTTCATGGATCCTTCATTTGCTTCCTGATCAACATTCTGTTCACCATAGCTCGACCGCGCGGTCGAATGTATCTCTTCTTTTGTCAAACTTCTCTTTCCTTCTTCCCAACAACATTTCACACACGCACGCACGTGCATATATCCATCACATATATATAAGCTCCAGATTATCATAATTAATGATACGATAATATTCTTAATT